TGTCCCAGAAGACTAAATGGACAACTTCTGCTTCCAATCAATGACTGCAGCGGAAATGGGAGTGGTTACCTGTCAAATTTGGAAACCTCCCCCCCCCCCCTCCCCAAAGGTGCCATGCCTTAACGGGGAGTGGGGGATGAAGCCTTAAAGTGGAATGTCCCCTTTTGGGTGGAGCTCCACTTTAATTTTTGCCTAATTTTTGTACTTTCTTTTGGATCTACATGGTTATGATGTAATTTCCTGTCTCAGTGTGTTCCTATCTCCTAAAAAACAAAAGAACTCAGCCATGTGTCCATCAACACCAGAATGGTAATAGTCAGGCACGTACTTACTCTGCCTGAACGCTGCCTATCCTGACCATGACTAGTTATTGGACTACCCTGTTGCTTGATAATTGCATTTTCCTTCGTTTTCCTGTTTTCTCATCAGCTCTCAATAGGGGATTCCAACTGAGAGTGTTACACAACCCAACCACATCACCAACCAATGATCACATAGGGGTTCACACCATTCCATTATAGTCTTTATTTATACCATTTCTTTCTTTATTAGAATCATCATATCCTTATTTGGATCGTTTGGTAGCTACAAAACAATATAAATTATTAGAAGTCTTTGATGGCAAATAAATCACAAACTTGGTAAGATGAACTACATTCCCACTAAATTATAGACTAATAGACGAACATATTTTTTCCTCTTTTCTTATTTCCTAAAACCGCCTTTAATTACAGTCTATTCTTAATTCACTGGGTTTTATTTTTCTGCTATCAGATCAAACAGACTTTCAGCAAGAATATTCCAACAGAATTCCTGAGCCATTTATAATTTTTGGCATGGATTGTACAATGTGGGGAAATATCTCCCCTGTGTTTAATTCGGCCCATGTGTTGGGAGAAAATGGCAAGTGTTGTGTTTTGGCTTCTTTGTGAGACGTTTTCATTGCTCAAATATATATATCCCAAATATATCCTGAACATCAGAGGAATGCAGCGCACGCCGAGCGTTTGTTAGAAGATAATGGTTTGATGCTTTGATTCTGTGGAGACGTCTCCCAAACAGGCGCACAGTTTGCTTCCTTCCGGCGAAGGTTTGGAGGCCAGAGATGTTTTTTCTGTCTAGGCAATAGGCCACATCGATGAGGTTTTCATTAGCAAAGAGGATAAGTGGGTGTTGCACATTGAACACTATAAAAAAATTTATATTATTCAGTGCTGTAAAAGAGTGGACTAGGCAGATAATTTAGTTGAACTTTATTTTGTGGTGAAATAATTGATTTTGTTAAAATTAGACTTTAATTTCGCCAGGCAGCACTGCAAAGTAAATATAGTGATGTCAAGTTCTCCTTTGTGCTCAGGGAGTGCAGTTCTGCTGAGGTCATGAGTGGATATTTATAAACAAAGTCCCGGCAATGTGTGATATACCAGTGTTTATTACGTTACTTTGATTGTAAACAAAAAGCCCAGTCAATGTGTGATGTGGCTGTGTTTATTAGATGATTTTGATTATAAACAAAAAGCCCAGTGAATGTGCAATATGGCTATGTTTATTACATTACCTTTTTATAAAGAAAGCCCAGTCAATGGGTGATATGACCATGTCTATTACATTACTTTGATTATCAACAAAGCCCTGTCAATCTGTAGTATGGCTATGTTTATTACATTACTTTGCTTATAAACAAAGCCCAGTCATTGTGTGATTATGGCTGCTGCAGCACTGCAAGGTGAATAAAGGTTTAAAAAGGTTCCCCTTTAAACTCAATGTACAGTTCTCCTAGCTAAAAACCATGGTGCAGTGTAACATGGGTATGTTTTTAAACAAAGCCCCGTCTCTGTGATTTGACTGTTTATTACATTATTTTGTTTATAAACAAAGCCCAGCCAGTGTGTGATATGGCTATGCTTATTACATTACTTTGTTTATAAACAAAGCCCAGCCAATGTGTGATATGGCTATGTTTATTACATTACTTTATTTATAAACAAAGCCCAGTCAATGTGTGATATGGCTATGTTTATTACATTACTTTATTTATAAACAAAGCCCAGTCAATGTGTGATATGGCTATGTTTATTACACTACTTTATTTTATAAACAAAGAGTTGGGGTTATTACACACTACTTAGGATTAAACAAACGGTCAGGGTTATAGAGTGAGGCCTCACACACCTCAGTATAGAGTATTTTGTAACACGAAGCTCCAAAATGCTCAGCATCCTAAATCCCATGTAGTGACTGTTCACACATGAGTGTTCAGGGACCTTTAGCTCAAAGCCTGATGCTCCAAAAGCTATGTGAGCTACTTTTGAGGCAGATTTATCCCATAAAGTTAAAATGAGAATATCTGAAAAAACTTCCAGCATTTTTTTTTTGAGCCTGTAATTACTGTTCTTTTCCCACTAGTGCTTTCCTTTGCCTAAAACAAAAATTCCAGAGGGTGGAATACACAAGTAAAACACTTCATATATACACTTTGTATAAACATGTGAAAATACTAAAATATAACTACTTGTAAATTGCACTGCTTAGGTGTGAATGCAGCCTTAAGTTAGACATTAGGACTCATTCTGATATGACTATCATTGCCAACTCTCTGAAAAGCGATCCACACTGAGTTTGTGTTTCAGAGAGATTGGCAACTGGTGAGAAGGCAATATGTCACCACCTCTCTGCCTATTTTAACCCTGAAAATGCCGACCCACCATGCTGCAACCATATACATTGTACACAGTTGCAGGGGGCAGTTGCAGCGCAGTCCTATTCACTTGATTAGGTCATGTTTGTCAGGGGTACTGTAGCAATTGTACGTACAGAGATGGATGCGAACCTCCATTTTGCCAAAGGCCCTCCATCTTGTATCATTTCTACTCCAAATCAGCTTCCCCCCTCCCTCTCTTTTGAGTGACACGTGGTCCCTGTGTGCTAGGTTCAGAAGTGCACAGGCAATCAGGCAAAGCAGGATAGCGTCATGGTTATAAATCCCAAATTAGCTGGTGCCCGGGTGTCTGTTAGCTTCTCAATCTGAGATAATCGTAAAGCCATAAACCAGTCCTTCACTGGACTTCAAACGCATTCCTAGGTAGCCGTAAAACAGGCATCACATTTAAAACCCACTTTTCCCTATAATGTCATATCTTAAGGTAGGAAATAATTGCATAAAAATAAAGCACATATTCGGATAGCTCTGCTTAATGGGAGTCGCCTGATATTTTACATCCCTGGATTACGTATACCCGAGAGCAGAAAGCGATATCTCCTTAACCGTCCCAAGCAGATATGTCATAACTGGTGTCTGGACGTTCAGAATTTCATTCTGCAGGAACCTGTCCTGTTAAACCGCTGTATGGTCTTGGCCACCGTGCTGCAGCTCAGTTTCAGGGTCTTGGCAATCTTCTTATAGCTCAGGCCATCTTTATGTAAAGCAATAATTCTTTTTTTCAGATCCTCCGAGAGTACTTTGCCATGAGGTGCCATGTTGAACTTCCAGTGACCAGTATGAGAGAGTGAGACCGATTACACCAAATTTAACACACCTGCTCCCCATTCACACCTGACACCTTGTAACATTAACGAGTCACATGACACCGGGGAGGGAAAATGGCTAATTGGGCCCAATTTGGACATTGTCACTTAGGGGTGTACTCACTTTTGTTGCCAGCGGTTTAGACATTAATGGCTGTGTGTTGAGTTATTTTGAGGGGACAGCAAATTTACATGTTATACAAGCTGTACACTGACTACGTCACATTGTAGCAAAGTGTCATTTCTTCAGTGTTGTCACATGAAAAGATAGAATAAAGTATTTACAAAAATGTGAGGGGTGGACTCACTTCTGGGAGAAACTGTATTTAGTGAGCACAGAGTTGCATTAATGTGTGTATTTTATATTTGATCAGAGTTCAGCTTTAAAGCCCCATTCATACCTTTTGTGCAATAAAAATATACACAAAGCTATATTAAGATTCATTAACCACTTCCAGTCCGGACACTTTCACCCCCTTCCAGTCCAGGTCAATTTTCAGCTTTCAGCGCTGTCACACTTTGAGTGACAGTTACGCAATCATGCAACACTGTACCCATATTAGATTTCTATAATTTATGTCACACAAATAGAGCTTTCTTTTGGTGGTATTTAATCACCACTGGATTTTTTATTTTTTTGCTATATAAATGAAAAAATACCAAACATTTTGAAAAAAAATCATTTTGTGCTTTAGTTTTTGTTATCAAATTTTGCAAATAATTAATCTTTCTTCATAAATTTAGGCCAAAATGTATTCTGCTACATTTTTTGGATAAAAATAGCCCTAAACAGTGTGTTTTATTTAGTCTTCGTGAAAATTATACAGTCTACAAACTACGGGATCTATATCTGAAAATTCAGAGACCCTAAAACGCCAGACACTGGTATGACATGGTGATCAGGACTCTGGAATGGTGGTGATCAGGACACTGGTATGATGTATGGCGGTGATCAGGATGTTGATATGATTTATGGCGGTGATCAGGACGTTGGTATGAGGTATGGCGGTGATCAGGAAGTTTCAATGACATATGGCGGTGATCAGGACACTGGTATAGTGTATGGTGGAGATCAGGGCGCGAGTATGACGTATAGCAGTGATCAGGACGCTGGTATGGGGTATGGCAGTGATCAGGACGCTGGTAGGACATATGGCGGTGATCAGGATGTTGGTATGAGGTATGGCGGTGATCAGGAAATTGGTATGAGGTATGGCTGTGATCAGGATGTTGGTATGAGGTATGGCGGTGATCAGGAAATTGGTATGAGGTATGGCTGTGATCAGGATGTTGGTATGAGGTATGGCGGTGATCAGGACGCTGGTATGAGGTATGGCGGTGATCAGGACGCTGGTAGGACATATGGCGGTGATCAGGATGTTGGTATGAGGTATGGCGGTGATCAGGAAATTGGTATGAGGTATGGCTGTGATCAGGAAATTGGTATGAGGTATGGCTGTGATCAGGATGTTGGTATGAGGTATGGCTGTGATCAGGATGTTGGTATGAGGTATGGCGGTGATCAGGACGCTGGTATGAGGTATGGCGGTGATCAGGACGCTGGTATGAGGTATATGGCGGTGATCAGGACGCTGGTATGAGGTATGGCGGTGATCAGGATGCTGCTATGAGGTATGGCGGTGATCAGGATGTTGGTATGAGGTATGGCTGTGACCAGGATGTTGGTATGAGGTATGGCGGTGATCAGGAAGTTGGTATGACGTATGGTGGTGATCAGGACACTGGTATAGTGTATGGCGGTGATCAGGATGCTGGTATGAGGTATGCGGTGATCAGGATGTTGGTATGAGGTATGGCAGTGATCAGGATGTTGGTATGAGGTATGGCGGTGATCAGGATGTTGGTATGAGGTATGGCGGTGATCAGGACGCTGGTATGAGGTATGGCGGTGATCAGGACGCTGGTATGAGGTATGGCGGTGATCAGGATGTTGGTATGAGGTATGGAGGTGATCAGGACGTTGGTATGAGGTATGGCGGTGATCAGGATGTTGGTATGAGGTATGGCGGTGATGAGGACGCTGGTATGAGGTATGGCGGTGATCAGGACGCTGGTATGAGGTATGCGGTGATCAGGACGTTGGTATGAGGTATGGCGGTGATCAGGACGCTGGTATGAGGTATGGCTGTGATCAGGATGTTGGTATGAGGTATGGCTGTGATCAGGATGTTGGTATGAGGTATGGCTGTGATCAGGATGTTGGTATGAGGTATGGCTGTGATCAGGATGCTGGTATGAGGTATGGCGGTGATCAGGATGCTGGTATGAGGTATGGCGGTGATCAGGACGCTGGTATGAGGTATGGCGGTGATCAGGACGCTGGTATGAGGTATGGCGGTGATCAGGATGTTGGTATGACGTATGGCGGTGATCAGGATGTTGGTATGACTTATGGCAGTGATCAGGCCGCTGGTATGAGGTATGGCGGTGATCAGGAAGTTGGTATGACGTATGGTGGTGATCAGGACACTGGTATAGTGTATGGTGGAGATCAGGGCACTAGTATGACGGATAGCAGTATCCAGGGTGTTGGTATGGCATATGGCAGTGATCATGGCACTAGCATGGGGTATGGCGGTGATCAGGACGCAGGTATGGGGTGGGGGCGGTGGTCAGGATATTGGTATGGTGTATGGGGGTGTTTTTGTGAGCACTGGGACAGGTGTTGGCTGCATTTTGTATTTGTACTAGACTAGGGCAGTAACCAGGGACACTGCAGTCTCTGAGTGTACATACAGCCTGACAGGTTGCTGCATCGGTTCTCTCTGCCCTCACAGTAAGAGTAGAGAGAAGCGATTTTTTTTTTCTTTTTTTTTTTTTACTGTGTTTCTACTGTTTACTATGTGATTGCTGTGATTGGACATAGCAATCACATGGTAAAACACCAAGTGATCACCTGGACATATTACCACTGACACTAGGATCTCTGGGTGACACTAGGATCACCATGCTCCCAGGAGCCATCGATGCAGGTTGACCTACAGGTATGTGCATTGGCACTGCTTTCTGTCCGCCGTCTATAGGCTATGGGCAGACGGGAAGCAGTTAATGCATATAAGTGCAAAATAATGCAAGGATTAAAAAGATACTTTATTAATGTGCAAAGGTGTGATTACAGGCTAAATGTCTTATAGGTTTACTGTGAGTGGTCACAACTCAGTTTCCAGGCTTCCCATTACTCTGATCCCACTGGTACAATTCCCCCTCCCCCTCCATATACAGTCATGTGATCACTGAATTATCAACATTTTATTCTAATCTTCTGATTTATTCCAGCCTGCACAAATGACTGTTACTCATGCAAAATGTTGCCAGTTCTTGTAACAAGCTCCAACCTATTCCTGACCTTCCTGCTAATCCCAGAAACTGGTGGGAAATTTTATTTAGGAGAAAAAGTCTTGCCTTTCCCAAAAGCAGTGATTTCATAAACTCCAAAGAAGTAGTCATTCATTTTATTGTAATGCACTGTGTACAGTGAGGAACAGAAGTATTTGAACACCCTGCGATTCTGCAAGTTCTCCCACTTAGAAATCATGGAGGGGTCTGAAATTCACGTTGTACGTGCATTCCCACCCTGATGTGACTGCTGACAAAAGCAGCAGGATGAATTCTGAAGTGTTTCGGGCAATATTATCTGCTCATATTCAGCCAAATGCTTCACAACTCATTGGATGCCGCTTCACAGTGCAGATGGACAATGACCCAAAGCAGACTGCAAATGCGAACAAAGAGTTTTTTAAGGGAAAGAAGTGGAATGTTATGCAATGGCCAAGTCAATCACCTGACCTGAATCTGATTGAGCATGCATTTCACTTGCTGAAAACAAAACTGAAGGGAAAATGCCCCAAGAACAAGCAGGAACTGAAGACAGTTGCAGTAGAGGCCTGGCAGAGCATCACCAGGGATGAAACCCAGCGTCTGGTGATGTCTCTGCGTTCCAGACTTCAGGTTGTAATTGACTGCAAAGGATTTGCAACCAAGTGTTAAAAAGTGAAAGTTTGATTTATGATTATTATTCTGTCCCATTTTGGTCCCTTAACAAGTGGGAGGCATATATGCAAACTGTTGTAATTCCTACACCGTTCACCTGATTTGGATGTAAATACCCCTCAAATTAAAGCTGACAGTCTGCAGTTAAAGCACATCTTGTTTGTTTCATTAGAAATCCATTGTGGTGGTGTATAGAGCCAAAAAAAATGTTAGAATTGTGTCGATGTCCCAATATTTATGGACCTGACTGTATTTGTCTTGCACTGCTGAACATAAGTATTTGAACACCTAAGAAACAGCAAGAATTCTGGCTTTCAAAGACCTGTTACTGTGCCTTTAAAAAGTCCACCTCTACTCCACTCATTAATCTAACTTAGTAGCACCTGTCTGAGCTCTTTAAAGACACCTGTCCACCCCACAGTCAGTCAGACGCCAACTACTACCATGGGAAAGACCAAAGAGCTGTCAAAAGACACTAGAGACAAAATTGTGGACCTCCACAAGGCTGGAAAGGGCTACGCGGCAATAACCAAGCAGCTTGGTGAAAATAGATCAACTGTTGGAGCAATTGTTAGAAAATGGAAGAGGCTATAGACGACTGTCAGTCTCCCTCGGACTGGGGCTCCATGCAAGATCTCACCTCGTGGGGTATCATTGATGATAAGAAAGGTGAGGAATCAGCCCAGAACTACAAGGGAGGAGCTGGTCAATGACATGAAGAGAGCTGGGACCAAAGTTTCAAAGGTCACTATTGGTAGAACACTACGCAGTCATGGTTTCAAATCGTGCATTGCTCGGAAGGTTCCCCTGCTCAAGTCATCACATGTCCAGGCCGGTCTGAAGTTTGCCAGTGACTATCTGGATGATCCAGAGGAGGCATGGGAGAAAGTCATGTGGTCAGATGAGACCAAAGTAGAACTTTTTGGTCTAAACTTCACTCGTCATGTTTGGAGGAAAAAGAAGGACGAGTTGCATCCCAAGAACACCATCCCTACTGTGAAGCATGGGGGTGGTAACATCATGCTTTGGGGGTGGGACAGGGGACAGGACGACTGCACTGTATTGAGGAGAGGATGAATGGGGCCATTTATTGTGAGATTTTGAGCAACAACCTCCTTCCCTCAGTCAGAGCATTGAAGATGGGTTGTGGCTGGCTCTTCCAACATGACAACGACCCGAAGCACACAGCCAGGATAACCAAGGAGTGGCTCCGTAAGAAGCATATCAAGGTTCTGGAGTGGCCTAGCCAGTCTCCAGACCTAAATCCAATAGAACATCTTTGGAGGGAGCTGAAACTCCGTGTTGCTCAGCGACAGCCCCGAAACCTGACAGATCTAGAGGAGATCTGTGTGGAGGAGTGGGCCAAAATCCCTGTTGCAGTGTGTGCAAACCTGGTCAAGAACTACAGGAAACGTTTGACCTCTAATTGCAAACAAAGGCTTCTGTCCCAAATATTAACACTGATTTTCTCAGGTGTTCAAATACTTATGTTCAGCAGTGCAAGGCAAATAAATTCTTTAAAAATCATACAATGGGATTTCCTGAATTTTGTTTTTAAATTCTGTCTCTCAGAGTGGGAATGCACCTACAATGTGAATTTCAGACCCCTCCATGATTTCTAAGTGGGAGAACTTGCAAAATCGCAGGGTGTTCAAATACGTCTGTTCCTCACTGTATGTGTGAGAGAGCATGTATTGTACAGGGGCGGACTGACAACTCATTTGGCCCTCAGGCAATAGGGGATCATGGGGCCCCTGTGTCCTTGCCCAAACTCAAAAAAGCCTATGAAAAAGGTACCAGGGGCATCTCATGGGGCCCCCTACTGACCTCCAGCCCTCGGGCAGTGCCCGAGTTTCCAAATGGTCAGTCCGCCCCTGGTACTGTACACACTCATACATACACTTATAACACATCCGTTCATTTTATATGAATTGACAGATAATTAAAGTTGAACTCCAGGCAGATATAAAAAAATAATGGAGCTCTGTAATCATTGATACATCGTTAAATCCGTTTTTTTATTCTAGGAGTTTAATATCCTAGCAGTCTGCTAAGGCGAAGGTGTATTTTACCACCCCATCCTAAGCAGCTTTAAGTTCTCCTGGATTTGTCTCCAACTGTCGCAAACTGTCCCCACTTCTAATAAAAGTCTGTGGTCAAGTGTTGATCCCAGCAGGGGTGTGAGGAGTGGAGTCCTTGCAGAGGAGTGCTCTGATCCCGCTGGAAGCCCCTACCCAGCTGGTGCTCAGACCAGGACTGTGACAGAAGTCATCCAGCACCCAATGCACAGATGCCAAACAATCAGGAGCCCCCCTTTACATCAGAGCTGCCCTGTAACATCAAAGTCCCTACTTACAGAAGGAGCCCTCCATCGGGGAAGGAGAGGAGGAAAGCAGAGAACAGGTACGGCAGGACTGGGAGGGCAGGGAGGAGTAAATAGTAGACCCAAGCAGAACAGAAGATCTGGACCGGAGAGGAGGGGAGAGATTGACAGGCAAGAAAGTGCAGTTACAGCCGGAGCACAGAGATCGCTAACCTGTCAGCAGAGAACCAGCATGACTGGAAGTGGAGGTTGGTGCGGCGGTGCCCTGTACACAGTGCCAGCCCACACATGTTCCCCTTAGTGAGAGACCCGGACAACGCTGGAAACAGCCTGCAAGGGAGGAGAGGAGGTGGAGTTGTGGGGGAGGAGAGCAAAACACTGCAGGTGAGTGGGGAAACAAATGGTGGAATGGAGGGGGTGATTGGTGCACAGGTCTGTCTACCCAGGTGCATTGTACCACCCCCCTAGCCTGGCGCCCTAAGGTGGCTGCTTGTACTGCCTTATGGTGGTGCTGGTTCTGTTGACCTGGTTTCAGCCTTTTGCAATTCCCTGTATAGCAGCGCTGGAATGAGGAAGAATCAATGCAAGGAGTCAATCAGTTAATTTGCTGACAAGAAGCATGCTAATAGGAGGAGAGATTGACAGAGAAATGAGCTCATCACTCTACTCCTTCTCCTTATCACTATCCAGTCATAGGCTGGGGGCGGGTTCTGGATGACCTGGGCTCAGAGGACATGGGTGGAATAATGAAGGCCATCATTCTGAGGACATCTAGTGGCAGAAAAAAGTACTGTGGGGGGAAACCTCTGGATTCAAAGTGACAATCGCAGCAAAAGCTGGTTTTGTTCATTTATCTTTTATTGGACTATTAACTTTTTATATTATTTTTAGATGGAGTTCTGCTTCAAA